AGGACCTGCGCCTAGACACGACCACAACGCATGATGTAGTCAGCCGGATCCGGCCCGTATCCAGATAAGATGGAGGACCTGCGCCTAGACACGACCACAACACATGATGTAGTCAGCCGGATCCGGCCCGTATCCAGATCAGATGGAGGACCTGCGCCTAGACACGACCACAACACATGATGTAGTCAGCCGGATCCGGGCCGTATCCAGATAAGATGGAGGACCTGCGCCTAGACACGACCACAACGCATGATGTAGTCAGCCGGATCCGGGCCGTATCCAGATCAGATGGAGGACCTGCGCCTAGACACGACCACAACACATGATGTAGTCAGCCGGATCAGGGCCGTATCCAGATAAGATGGAGGACCTGCGCCTAGACACGACCACAACGCATCCCTGAACATGCGGCACTGATCCAAAACAGACTCGTCTCCATACCGGCGTGACTCCGATCTTCAACCATACAACACACACACTCACTCATTCACTCACACACACTCACCGCAGGCTCTGCTGGTCCTCCAGAAGCGCAGTGCGCAGTGAAGCGCTCCGTCGAGCCACAGCAGGATCCAGCTGATGCAGAAGCCCATCAGGAGCCCGAGCACCAGATCCAGCTCCTGCTTGCTGACGCTGCTGCCGGCCGAGGAGCCGAGGGACACCGAGGCCTCGTACGGGATCACGTGCTCCACAAGATGCCTGCACGAGGAGGAGAGAACTCTACTAAAAACACACTCCTACACCGTAAAAAACCCTTCAGAGCTTGCAAACGGGTGTTTCTGCATAGAAGAACCATTATAGGTTCCCCAAAGAGGATCAACCTATAACCTATAACCTACAACCTATAGGATCAAACTTAATCATTAGGTTATTTCAATGGAAAACTTTTACTGTCAAGTTACTTTTCCCCTGTAAATTATAAGATGACGAATGTTTCACTTCCATCTAACAATATGTTACAGTAGAATTGTATGAAATGTCCCATTAGATTACAGCTTTTCACCGTATAGAGTAACTTACAGTTAAGCTACTAACAGGTCTTTATCGTAGGTCTTTTAGCGCTAAAACAGCAATCATTTTCTACAAAAATATGATCCAAGAACATGATCCATGTTCCTGAAAGTCTATTTTTAAAAATGTTTTAACATGTTTTTTGTTGGTTATGTGAACATTATGGTAACAAGTTGTAACATTTAAAAAACGTTAGATGAACTTCTAACTAAAATGTGTCAGTTAAAAACACTCCATGAATGATGTATAAATAACATTTTGAGAACATTATTAAAGACCAGATAACTTTGCACAAACGTTCTATTAACGTTACTGGAAGAACGTTTGTTCATAACTTTGAGAGAACATTCCTTGTTCTCTGGGTTGTTAATAAAACGCTTGTTTGTAAAAGTTAATCAACAATTAGCATCTTGCCTAGCGTAGAAACAACCCTATAGCCATCATGACTACCACGAAGGCGTCACTTTCCCTTAATTAGGGCGCCTTTACACGACAACAATGTACTAAAAACGGAAAAAGTTTTTCCTTAGCGTTTTTCTCGTACAGACGAAAACATTGTCAAAATGATCCTCGGTCACACGGATCCGTGAAACGACTAAAATCGCTGTATTCTGCTGTCAGGCCAGTAGATGGCGATGTCACACTGTAAAGAAACACTAGTGCCTATAAACTGAACACTAAACATGTGAATGACGTCACCGTTTACATAAATTCGTGTTTTTATAGTTTACACCGAGACGATAACGTTTTCAAAAACTCGCACTTTGAATCCTGTTTTTAAAAGTTTGCGTTTTCAGGACCCCAAAACCCCATTCTCGTGTAAATGAACGACCAAAAAGCAGAAAAAAACGTTTACCGTTTTTTTTTTTTTAAATGGTGTTGTGTAAACGCCCCTTAAATGAAAGTAACATCTGTATTGTTACAGAAAATTGATCCAAGCATGAAAGTGCGCTCACATTAGCGATAATCCAGTGAAATTTCAAGGGCAAAACGGGTTTATTAGTCAATAATAGCGTAACGATGTATGAAGCACTGCTCAATCGTAAAAGTATTTGTAAGCAGCTTTCGCGCGACTACATCAGAATTATCGTAAATACTAGTTTCCTTGTTAAAAAAACTGGAACATGAACACCCTCTCAAGTCAAAACTTTAATGCGATACGCTTGTAATCACGACTTCAGAAGTGGGAAGTAGGAAATTTCCTATAGCAGTGAAGGCAGCATAAATCACGTGACCTGACAACAGAGAAATCTGCGTGGGAAACTTTTCCCGCCAAACTCCCGAACGTTCGGATTCCAATTGGAATGAATGGATTTTCCCCGGGAAATTCCGCTGAGCGACTGTAAATGTGACTCGCCTCAACATAAATCGGAAAACTGATATTTAATATTTAAATAATAAGCTGTATTCCCCTCACTTGTATCTAGTTATGGGCCTCTCTAGTAAGCGAATAAAACTAAAGTGTTTCTTACCTGCCGCAGGTGCAGTGACACACGCGCTCGGGTCCGCGCATGCGCGGTAGGATGAAGTTGTGAAATCGGTCCAGCAGCGCGTTCATGTCGGACATACACACGATGGCCTGGAAAACACCAAAACTACTGCCATTTCCCAGCGCTTAGCGTTTAAAAATGCATTTCAACACGTTTCTCCACAGAAAACCATACAATTAGTAATAAAGTTGATCTGCAGTCACTGTGAGAGAGAGAGTTATGTAATATTCCTCAGCAGAATCTTCACACAGGTCTTCTTACCAGCACCAGAACCGCTCCAGCCACCATAAACATCATCTTCATCCACACACCGCAAACATCCTCTTCATCACAGTCCAAACATCGCGAACATCTTCATCACAGGACATAAACATCATCTTCATCGCACTCCGCAAACAACAACAACAACACAGATCGAGATATCATTGACCATCATCGTAGATCATTCCAGCAGCGAATCCTCCTCAGATTCACATCATCATCCTCTTCCTCTTCATCATCTTCCTCGCGTGTGTTCGCGACGCGTCATGAAGAGCATCAGATGTCTCACCTGCGGCGCGTCGGCCGCGCGATCGACGCCTCGGGCAGGAGAGCAGAATCGCGACGCGCTGATCGGATCTGTAAGTGATCTGGAGTTGGACTGTATCAGATCTCAGATCAGTCCATTAGCTTAATGAGGAACTCTTGCGTCACGCTCATCTGGAATATCAGAGCCTCGCGACGCCCAAGAGAATACCGTGGTAACACCATGTTTTACACCACATGGACATTACAGCTTTGTTTTTTAATGTATTACCATGGTATTCTGGACATTTAAGGCCCGTGTCAACAACAATAACGCACGATATAAGGCTCGTACCTGTGCCTTTTTGCCATCATACAATCATGTGGAAAATTAAACTCAGTTTTTAAAAGATATTTTTGTGTAGTCACGATAGGGTGATGTACAACATTAAAGCTCGGGTAAATAAATTGAACCATTTATTAAGCAAAATAAATGAAATGGAGGATAAAAAATGTCCACCCTGTTATATGGAAAATGAACAAGTTTCACATACTTATGATGGACATTTATGGGCTGTGTACATTATATTAGACAACTCGTGTAAAAGCATACCAGTTAATAAAATATCAGAAAATATTATGTACGAATTGTACTTACTTTCTCACTAACGCATATTTTTTCATTTTCAGATACAAATGCCTAAAATGTTGTTTTCTTTTTATTGATCTTCCAGAAAATTGTAATTGTCAGAAAAGTTTTTTGCTGGTTTTATGAAATTATTGTTAAAAAAAACCTAAATTGCTTAACAGGATAGACAAACTGATGACAGAATGGGAAAAATAATAACAATGGACAAGTGACATGAAGAATGGATGTATGATTTCCTATCACTCACATAACCAGTTAACATCATTCCTTTAGTTTGAACTGGTTTTAGATAAGAAACAATATGTAAAAGATTTGCCAAAGAACTTTGAATAGAAACATAAGTTCAGTCAGATATAACAGGGTGGGTCCTCTGATCTAGAATCAGCCACTGCGAAACACAAGAGAACGTGTGTAATCTGATGAACAACTGCATGGCCTTTAAACTGGAGTTTTCATCCAACTTTCCCCGTAACAGTGCGGACGTTAAAGAGCACATCAGATGTGAAAGATTACACTCACTTTCCCTCCGAAGAAGTGATGTCAGCTTTATGTGATGTCATGTAATTTCTCCAACTTTCGTTTAAAGGGAAAGTAGTCAAAAAGAAAAGGGTGAACCATAAATTGAGGGACAAACTAAAAACCTTGAGTATAATGGCTAAAATAAAAAGAATAATTGAACACATGAGAGTGAATCTTTACTGATATTTACAACCATGTAAAAAAACAAAAGAAAAACAAATCACCTCTTTATTAAGTGTTGTATAAAGAATTAAAGAATTATTATGCTCTTAGGGCTAATTAATACCCGGTGGCAACCACCAAAGATTGTCCGATCAGAACAATAAAGGATGTCCGTTTAGGAGGAGCCAGATGCACACACCACTCACAGACCACCCATTTCAAACATGAACATAATTTAATTAAGTGTGGTTCTAGAAAGAGAAACAACAATAAAGAAAGTATAAATATACACAATGATAAACATCAATATGCAAATGAATACAATACGTATTTCGTATGACATTAACACTGGAAATTTGTCTATTCAGCGATCGTACAATATGATTAGCTTACAGACACGTGTGCTACTGCATAGCCTATGTGATAATCACATCTTTAACGACAAATTTACGCACTCTCACAGTGTAAAAACACGGTATAATGATGCAAGATTAACTTACTCTTTGATGCACGCACACATGTGATTAGTCATTATTAAATCGCGGATGAACTGGTGTTATCATCGCGTCAGGTCCGCTCTGCGCTTATAATAACAATAGCGCTCGTACTTCCCACTAAATCGCGTCAGCATCAGGGTCCTAAGCACCGTCGGGTCCTTACAATAGACGAATGACTTACTGCCTGAATGAATAACAACAGGGAATAAACTATCACACATACAAAGAACTATATGAATTTAGCAACTGTAAACATATTAATGATTGTGAACATTAAATACTGGCCATCATTTTAGTACAGCCGCCCCCAAATGTGTTTGCAGATTTGAATCTCGGGCCAGTACTCCCATTCATTCAGGGAGTGGAGGGAGCTTAATCAGTCTAACAACAGGTCTGATGTAGGTTCTGTCTTTGACCTGAATTTCTGCGGCTCTTACTCTATTATCGGCTCCAGCAATGACAGCTTTCACAGTCCCGATAGGCCAGAGTGCTCTGGGGAATTGTGGATCAGCAATCATGACTACTGTCCCTACGATCAGGTTGTCTTTGTCTTGTTGCCATTTTTGGCGAGCCTGAAGTCCGGGCAGGTAGTTACGCAGGTAACAGCTCCAGAACTGGTCTGCCAGTACTTGGCTGTGTCTCCAGCGTTTGCGGCTGAGCAACTCCGATGCAGGGTAAATTACCTGAGGCAAGGCAGAGTCCAGCCGGCCCATTAAGAGTGAGTTAGGGGTTATTGGGTCCGGATCAGCTACATCCGAAGATACATATCCCAATGGCTTTGAATTTAAAATTCCCTCAATTTCAATTAAGACAGTCCTCAGCACTTCCTCTGTGACAGTTTGAGCACCAATGGTAGTGTACAATGCAGCTTTAACAGATCTGATCTCTCTTTCCCAGGATCCTCCGAAATGTGGGGAGTTCGGTGGATTGTACTGAAAGCTGATCTGTTGCTTTGCAAGTTCCTTTTGCAATTGAGGGTGAATATTGTTGAAGGCTTGTTTGAGCTCATGATCTCCACCTTTGAAATTTGTACCCTGATCAGAGCGCAACTCATGAGGTTTTCCCCTACGGGCGATGAATCGACGTAGAGACATGAGAAAAGAGTCTGTGTCAGCTTGAGAGAGAAGATCGATGTACACTGCCCTTGTGGTCAAACATTTATAAATAATACCCCAGCGTTTTTCATTCCGTCGCCCAATTTTGATGGTAAATGGGCCAAAACAGTCCATGCCTGTGGAGTAAAAGGCTGGCTGGAAGAGTCTTAAGCTGGAAGGGGGTAAGTCAGCCATTTTAGGGCTATTGGGCTTGCCACGCCACCTTTGACATTCAGCACAATGATGCTGGATTGATCGAACAGCTTGACGACCTCTCAAGATCCAGAAGCGTCTTCTGATTTCAGCAAAGACTCGTTCAGTACCAGGGTGATGGAGCTGTGCATCGTACTGCTGAATTAGTAACTTAGTCATTGGATGAACTGGGTCTAGTACAATTGGGTGGAGAATGTCAGGGCTCAGCAGGTGACACCTTCGGAGTCGTCCACCCACTCTAATCAGCTGCATGTCAGAATCAAATTCAGGAGCTAATGTCTTTAGACGACTGTTTGAGGAGATGAGTTTCCCTGCTTGAAGCTGAGCATATTCGTCAGGAAAACTCTCCATTTGAGACTTTTGGATGACTCTGAGCTCGGCTTCCTTATACGTGGCAGCATTAACACTGTCTGTAGGACAGGCCGCCCCGTGAAGGGATCTGGCTGTTGCATCAATAAGCTCTTGGAAGTTGTCATATTGAGATGCATTGACTGCATTCTGTTCATTTTGAGTTCTAAGAAGGTGGAAGGATATTGGTTTACGCAGTTCTTTTGAGGTGTCGGCTGGCTTTAGGTTGGGCAATTTGGGCCAAGACGACGGAGGCTTCTGAAGAAATTCTGGGCCATTCTTCCAGCGGGTAGGTGTGGCTAGCTGAGCCAGTGACAGGCCACGAGTAATGTCGTCAGCAGGGTTGTCTTGTGAATGCACATAGGACCATGATTGTGAATCAGTTAACTCTTGAATCTCTGCAACTCTGGTTCCTACAAACACTTTGAAGTGACATGAGTCTGATTGCAGCCAGTTAAGGACGGTCGTAGAATCGGTCCAGTATTTGAAACTGCTGATGTTTAGTGTGAGCTCCTTTTTCAGAACTGCTGCCAGTTGTGCTCCAGTTAGAGCAGCACATAGCTCAAGTCGAGGAATTGTTTGCTGCTTCTTTGGAGCTACTCGTGATCTAGCTGCCAAGAATGACACCTCTATTTGCCCTTTGTTATCTTCAGTACAGAGATAGGCTACAGCGCCGTACGCACGCTCGGAGGCGTCGCAGAATGTGTGCACACTTCTGGAGCTGGTCAAGGGATCTACCTTTGAAGTGTAGCATCTAGGCATTGTGACACTGGAAAGTTGCGGAAGCTCGTCTTCCCATGTGAGCCATGCATTTCTGAGGTCTGTGGGCAGTTCAGGGTCATCCCATTCTCTTTTTTTATCCCAGAGCCTCTGGACTATTATCTTAGCTCTAGTAGTAAATGGGGTGATGAATCCCAATGGATCATACTGACTAGAAAGGATGCTATATATGTATCGCATAGTGGGCTCAGTTTTTACGACATGGCCATGTTTATAACCAAGTGTGTCAGATCTGCACTGCCACCTAAGTCCCAATGTACGCTCCTGAGGGTCTGCCCTGTCTGAACTAAACCAAAGCTCATGGTTCTCTGACCTGATTTGCTGCGGTAGGTGTTGCAGGAGTTGGGGAGTGTTACTAGCCCATTGGCGCAGTTCAAATCCACCATCAGCCAGCAGATGTCGCATGTCATCCACTAATTTCCTAGCAGTCTCAAGAGAGGGGACACTTTGCAACCAATTGTCAACATAGAAACATTGCTCTATTGATGCTCGTACCTCACTGTCTGGATGGCTGTGATCGGCAACATGTTTCCGGAGAGCAAAGGTTGCACAGCATGGGCTGCACGTGGTGCCAAAGGGTAACACTGACCATTGGTAAACATCAGGTGGGATAGATGTGTTCAGGTCTCGCCACAGGAATCGCAAGAATGCTTGGTCTTCTGACAGGAGGCGCACCTGATGAAACATCCCCTTTATATCGCTGCTAATGGCTACTGCATACTCTCGGAAACGGAGAAGTACTCCCAGCAAGGTCGCACCCAGAGTTGGCCCAGGAAGGAGATATTCATTCAGGCTCAGGCCTTGGAATTTGAATGAACAATTGAATACAATCCTGTTCTTTCCGTTGTGGTGGACCATGTGGTGTGGAATGTACCACCCTTGAGTCTGTACAGCTGTGGATTGGGGAATTTTTTTCACATAGCCTGCTTCTAGCAGCTTGTTTATTTCAGACTTGTACACTTGGGATTTCTCAGAGCTCTTTGCCAGCTGATTTTCAGTCCTTCGCAACTGAGGCAGTACTGCTTCCTTTGGAGCAGTTAGAGGTGAAAGACTGGTTTTCCACAGGAGAGGGGTAGCGTATCTTTGCACACCTTCAACTTCAACCCTTGTTGTTTTCTCCTCCAGCATGCACATAGCTTCTGCATCACATTTTGACCTTATAACAAGCCGTTCATTTCGGTAGGGCAAGATGTCCATCTGCCACAACCTCTCAACTTGACTGAATAAATCATTAGGCGAAAGGCTTACTGATGTGAACAGGCACTGTTGTGTGTGGGGGATATGTTCGAGGAACTTTGATGGACCTTGGAGTGTCCATCCCAAACGAGTTTTCACAGCTGCTGGACCTCCTGGGGGTCCCAATCGAACTGGCTCAACAGGGGTGATCAGTTGTGGGTAATCTGACCCAATGAGCAGTAATGGCCTGGCATGGTCGCTTGACTGCAGAGGTAGGCCTCTGAGATGGTGATATCTCCTTTGGAGCGTTTCAATTGGGTAAGAATGAGGTGCTAGTCCAAGCTCCTCAGCTGTAAAGGCTCTTTTGATTGCAAAGTTGTGATCTGGTTGTGTGACAGGACTCACTGAGAATGATACTGTGGAGCCACGGATGATGCGGATATCTTGACGCACTGTACGAAGAGAGAGGTCTTCAGGCTTACCGTGAAGGTGGAGTTGCTGAGCTGCCTCATGGAGAAGTATAGTGCGCTCTGAACCATCGTCTAGCAATGCATATGTATCGAGTGAAAAGTCTCCATTGCGTATGATAACTCTGCACAATTTCAGTAACACTTTACTGCCAGTTGGTCGATCGACGTACAAAGTTTCTATTGTGGTGCTGGTAGACTTTGTGATCTCCGCATTTCCTTTGGTAGCAGTAGCACTCATTTCGCTATTAACCTCATGCAGAACTTCTAGATGTCTCCTTTGACACTTCTTGCATTTCGCCTTAAGAGTACACTGACCTGTTTGGTGATCGCGCCCACATTTCCAACATCTACAATTGGACCTGATCCAGGTCACAATCTGCTCTTTGGACAGCAGCTTGAAGTTTGAACACTGATTGAGATAGTGCTGAGTTGTATTACAAAAGGGGCAGTATTTCTTTGGTTTCTCTTGTGATCTCACCTCATGAACTGCATTTCTGTGAATCGATTCATCTTTGGCAACTGGCTTTTGCTCGCTTCCATGGAAGATGGCAGTAGACTTGTTAAATACTTTGGGTACTCTTTGCTGGTCTTTGCGGAAACTCTGCCTCTCTCTGCCTACGTCAACACTGAACTGGGTACCGTCCTCTTGCACCCTCATCTCATACTCCAACCATTCTGCAAACTCAAACAAAGTAGGGATAGGTGTCTTGAGTGGATTGACATACCTCTTAAAGTTTGCTCGGAGATCGTGAGGTAATTTAGCGAGGAGTCGGGTAACATGAGACCCACAAGTCAGTTCTGTATGTCCAGGACTTCCCAACTGATCCAGCATTCCAACCAGGGCCCGTACCTTTAGTGCGAAAAGCCTAAATGCTCTGGTATCACCACTTCTTATGCTGGGTCCATCCATCAGGACAGCAATGCGTTGAAGTGCAAGTTGATGGGGTTGTCCATAGAGTTCTGTTAGAGCCTGCATGGTATGACTGTAAGGGTACCTGCTGTTACTGTAAGAGTCAGCAATGAGCAATGCTTCCTCAAGCTTCAAGTGGTCCATCAATATCTGGAACTTAAAGCGCTCTGTAGCGTCGGCGGGCAGGAGATTGTCAAGAGCTACCTTCAACCTGGCGAACTCCCGTGGATCCTCTTTAGTGAAGTTAGGAATGGTAGGGGTTGGACCACGATAAGTGTTCTCTTGACTGTGTGGCAATGAGGGACGATAAGACACGAATGTTCTCTGTTGCCTGGAGGGGCTGTAATAGTGTTCGTCAGCACGCTCAGCCCTCTGGGCTGTTGATGCGCGTTCTGGCGATGGCGAAGACGGTCTGGATGGATTGGAACTCGCCTTCATCCTCTGCAGCTTGTGGATAATCTCATCTATTCTGTCCTGTTGACGTTCTGAGTGCAACTTATCCTCACTGTGTTTCACTGACTTATCTCTCTCATAACGTTGATCTCTTTGATCTCTTGTTGACGTTACTCTGGAGCGTGACAGTGAAGTAGAGACTCGTTCCTCCCTATTACATGTTGAATGTCTGGGCAAAAGAAATAGTTGAGATGGAGACACTGGTCTTGGAGAGTGAGCTGCGGAGTGCTCTCTGAGGTCATGTCTGAGTTTACGGTTCTCCTCTTCCAGATCCTTCAGCCGCATCTGCAGTACTTCAGCAGAGAAGTGTGGATTTCCCTCGTCCAGATCCTTCAGCCGCATCTGCAGTACTTCAGGAGAGAAGTGTGGATTTCCCTCGTTGGCAGAAACATGATCAATGTCAGTAACAAGTGTGTTGCGAGGTTGTAATGGACCTCCTGTAGCCCCTATTAGCTGTTCTCCTTCGTTGGAGTGGTCTGGGGGTGTGTGCGATGATCGGTGCTCTGGCACATAATTCACCTCATAGTCGTCGAGGTACTTTGGCATTTGCGTTCGGCGACGGGAGCGAACTGTAGCATCACTATTCTCCTCACTATGTATGGACATTATGTTAATTCAGAAGTTGCCCAATCCGGCTCGAAGGACCATATAAAGAATTAAAGAATTAATTATGCGGCTCGAAGGACCATATAAAGAATTAAAGAATTATTATGCTCTTAGGGCTAATTAATACCCGGTGGCAACCACCAAAGATTGTCCGATCAGAACAATAAAGGATGTCCGTTTAGGAGGAGCCAGATGCACACACCACTCACAGACCACCCATTTCAAACATGAACATAATTTAATTAAGTGTGGTTCTAGAAAGAGAAACAACAATAAAGAAAGTATAAATATACACAATGATAAACATCAATATGCAAATGAATACAATACGTATTTCGTATGACATTAACACTGGAAATTTGTCTATTCAGCGATCGTACAATATGATTAGCTTACAGACACGTGTGCTACTGCATAGCCTATGTGATAATCACATCTTTAACGACAAATTTACGCACTCTCACAGTGTAAAAACACGGTATAATGATGCAAGATTAACTTACTCTTTGATGCACGCACACATGTGATTAGTCATTATTAAATCGCGGATGAACTGGTGTTATCATCGCGTCAGGTCCGCTCTGCGCTTATAATAACAATAGCGCTCGTACTTCCCACTAAATCGCGTCAGCATCAGGGTCCTAAGCACCGTCGGGTCCTTACAATAGACGAATGACTTACTGCCTGAATGAATAACAACAGGGAATAAACTATCACACATACAAAGAACTATATGAATTTAGCAACTGTAAACATATTAATGATTGTGAACATTAAATACTGGCCATCATTTTAGTACATGTTGTATTATCATGGAAATGCTTGGGAACAGAGGAGATGTGGTGGATCAAAATACTCATTTTTGAAAACTTCAACATGCTAAGAACTGAAATGTTGTTTATGGCTAAGACATGTTTAACACTGATATCGCTTTCCTGGAGACACAAACTCTGAGATTCATCAACGCTTTATTCATTCATTCATAGCGCAATATTTACAAGAATCATTTCAGGCACTCTGGGCTGCTTCAGGTACGATTACACAATCATCCTTTCATTTACAAAATTAAAGAAAAAAACAAACAAAATATACTCAATATAGGTATCAAATCCCATGTTTAAATAACGAGGAAAGAAATTCATGAGAAACTCAAAGTATATCACGTCCCGTCGGCCAGAGTTATTAAACGTTACATCCTCTAAATAAACATCTTTAAACGTGATCCGATGCGGTGTCCGTTCCAGCGCAGGCACACACTCCCGGCTGGCGCATGTGTGTGCTGCTCTCGGTCAGGACTGAGGTGTGTGTTGGCGGTAAACAGACGAGCGAGGCCGATCTCCGCGAGCGGTCAGTAGAAGCAGACGGTGTGCAGGAACGGCCGGTGGCTCTTGTCCTCGAACTCCTGCAGAAGCTCGTCGATCTCGTTCTCCATGTCGTCGGTGTGCTGGATCTGACACAGGAGACACGGGGTTATTCGACATTAGCATACAAGCTGAACGCACCAACATTAGCATACGAGCTGAACGCACCAACATTAGCATACGAGCTGAACGCATGTGTGCGATCTCAGTGTTCACACCAGCGGACGATAACTATAACGATAACTATATTAGTGTTCACACTAGCGGACGATAACTATAGCGATAACTATATTAGCGTTCACACCAGCGGATAAGTATAACGATAACTATATTAATGTTCACACCAGTGGACGATAACTATAACGATAACTATATTAGTGTTCACACCAGCGGACGATAACTATAACGATAACTATATTAGTGTTCACACCAGTGGACGATAACTATAGCGATAACTATATTAGTGTTCACACCAGCGGACGATAACTATAACGATAACTATATTAGTGTTCACACCAGCGGACGATAACTATAGCGATAACTATATTAGTGTTCATACCAGCGGACGATAACTATAGCGATAACTATATTAGTGTTTACACCAGCGGACGATAACTATAACGATAACTATATAAGTGTTCACACCAGCGGACGATAACTATAACGATAACTATATTAGTGTTCACACTAGTGGACGATAACTATAGCGATTATATTAGTGTTCACACCAGCGGACGATAACTATAACGATAACTATATTAGTGTTCACACCAGCGGACGATAACTATAGCGATAACTATATTAGTGTTCACACCAGCGGACGATAACTATAACGATAACTATATTAGTGTTCACACCAGCGGACGATAACTGTAACGATAACTATATTAGTGTCCACACCAGCGGACCATAACTATAACGATAACTATATTAGTGTTCACACCAGCGGACGATAACTGTAACGATAACTATATTAGTGTTCACACCAGCGGACCATAACTGTAACGATAACTATATTAGTGTTCACACCAGCGGACCATAACTATAACGATAACTATATTAGTGTTCACACCAGCGGACGATAACTGTAACGATAACTATATTAGTGTTCACACCAGCGGACGATAACTATAACGATAACTATATTAGTGTTCACACCAGCGGACGATAACTGTAACGATAACTATATCAGCGTCCACACTGAGGGATATCACCGTTTATTATAAGCGCTGCAGTTTTGTCGTCTGCCGCTCTAACCGCTCGAGCTCTTTAAAGCAGGATGGACTCTGATTGGCTGTCAATGTTTTTATTGTTCATCAGCTTAAAAAAAAACGTTCTGAAGATGATTGCAACGATATTGCTTCTGTGCTGTTATGGTCACAGCGGTGTTGTGAACGGTTATATTGAGGATGGTTGTGCGAGCTCAGGTTACGGCCTGGACGCTACTCACACACTGGCAGAGCTCACAGATGAGGAAGGCTCCCAGCGTGGCCTCCTCGTGGTTGTCCTGGATGTCCACGTTGATGACGTGCACCGGCTGGAAGGTCTCCTGCTCGCGCGAGTTCAGGTCTGAAAGAGACGAGGGGTTATTGTGCGGCTCGAGCCGGTGCGTATCTCAACAGCAGACGTGCTCCTCACCCTCCAGCACCTGGTCGTACACGCGCTCCTCACAGGTGATCACCAGGTCAAACTGGTCTTTGCAGCTCTGGAAGCGTTCGGGGCGCGACTTAATGCGCTTGTTGCGGTCTAACATGTGTAAGATGCCATTCTGTGTGTATCTGAGGAGGATCAGCGGTCAAGGAAGACACAACAGAGACACAAACACTCTCACATCACATCAAACTGCTCACAAAGGGTTAAAACAGTGGACACTTGCTCACTAGCGCCATCTGCTGGTCAACCTGTGCAATCCCTTCTGTGCCACTGTACAAACACTTACATATTATTCTTAACAAATTCATTTCAAAACGGGAGGAATCAACTTAATTTTATTGTGTGAATAAAACAATGTGAGGGACAGAATGTAGATAAGCATTCATAACTGGTGTTCAAACAGAAATGATATCAGGAAAACTAAATAAATAAGTCGTCATTCATGTAAACGCTCAAAAAAAAAGAAAAAGGTTATGTTTGCACTGCTACTCTTCCTGAAGTCTAGAGAATCCACTATAAAAGTAAACTGATAGTTATTCAGTTAGTTAGCTAGTTATTTTATACCTCATTTTTTTAGTGCAAATCCAGTTTCAGGAAAATTCTTATTTCTGCAAATATGGTTTATCAAAAAAAATAAAAAAGCAAATCTTGAGCTTGTTCGGCCATTTTATCCGACTTCACGTGAATCCTGTGGTTCAGTTTTAATCTGTTCTTAAACACGTCGCCGGGATCATCGAACAGCTTCCAGTGACACGCCAGAGGAATAAATCTGTGTGTGCTTTCATGTGAAGCCAATGAACCACCAGCTCATCACTGTGAATGATGAGTAGAGCGCCAGTAATGACCCCAGAGGACGTGCACTGTACTACACGTGTGAGGTGAACTCGCGCCATCTCTGGCAATGAATTGGGAGGCATTTTCCTGTGTGCAATACAAATAGGTGGATTTAAAGGTACAGTTCACCCAAATATCATCATCCATGTCCTTCTGTGGAACATTAAATCACGGTATTCTGAAGAACGCCAATGGGGTCCAATGTGTGGTTCCCAACATTCCTCAAAGTCTCTCCTTTAGTGTTCTCCAGAAGGAAGGGTGTCGCCGAGACGTTGCGACGCGAGTAAAGGAAGACCCTTAAAGGGTTAATTCACCCAGACATGTCAGTTCTGTCAATCACTCGTGTCGTTTTAAACCCGTGAGACTTTCTTAGGAACACAAATTAAAGATCTTTTTGATGAAATTGAAGAGCTTTCTGTCCCTCCATTGAAAGCTAAGGAAGCTCTAGAGATAGACCTCGTGAGACGGACTCCAGTGGTTTAGCCTCGGTTCATGAAGCGGCGCGTGTGCAAACACTTTATTTACAAAATATAACTCAAACACACGTTCACGCATCATCTGCTGGCGTCAACAACACACGGGTCATGATGCTCTCGTGAACGAGCGGCAGATTCATTTTTAGTAAAAATAAAATAAAAAGTGGTATATTGTTTTTTTGCGCAAACTGGGGTGAAATCACTGAGTCACATGGTAGACTGAACGCCATGAGGGATTAATGACAGAACTGACATGTCTGGGTGAATTAACCCTTTAAGAGTGTTGCTTTACTCGCGTCGCTCCACGTCTCGCGACTCACTTCTTCTGGAGAACACTAAAGGAGATGCTTTGAGGAATGTTGGGAACCTTGGACCCCATTGGCGTTCTTCAGAATACCGTATTAAAGGGATAGTTCGGCCAAAAATGATATTTAACCCATGCATTACTCACCCTCAAGCCGTTCGAGATGCATATGTCAATCTTGTTTCAGACGAACACATTTTCAGTTATTTTAGAAAATGTCTTAGACCCTTCAGTGGATATAATGTGAAGCAATGGGGTCCACCTCCTTCAAGTCCCAAAATGTGCATATATACTTCACAAAAGTAATCCATCCGGCTCCAGGGGGATAAACGAAGGCCTTCTGAGGGTAATCCGTGCGGTTTTGTCGTAAAAATATACATATTTAAAACTTTCTAAATGAAAATATTTGACTTCCGGCAACGATCGACGCGCGTTCACGGGTAATGGAAGTCGGCGTACGAGGAAGGACGTAGCGTAGGAACCGTCGTGAAGTCAGATATTTTCATTTATAAAGTTTTAAATATGTATATTTTTACGACAAAACCGCACGGATTACCCTCAGAAGGCCTTCGTTTATCCCCCTGGAGCCGGATGGATTACTTTTGTGAAGGATGTATGCACATTTTGGGACTTGAAGGAGGTGGACCCCATTGCTTCACATTATATCCACTAAAGGGTCTAAGACATTTTCTAAAATAACTGAAAATGTGTTCGTCTGAAACAAGATTGACATATGCATCTCGAACGGCTTGAGGGCGAGTAATGCATGGGTTAAATATCATTTTTGGCCGAACTATCCCTTTAATGTTCCACAGACGGACAGACGCAGAGCTGTGGAGCGAGTGAATGATGAACTGTACCTGTAATGTCCCTTCAAGAGTCACGGGTTCGGTTCCCAGGGACTGATCAAAGGCACGTCACTGGATAAGTGTGAGGATTATATTTCACATGGAGTTCAGGAGAGAAGTCACTTATCAGTTAAAACAGGACAGAGGTTCTTGCGCTTTAACCCATGCATTATATTGGAGTTCCTAAGATAAAGGGCCGTTCAATAATCATAACTATACTGGCGCCCACAGTGGACTCTTTTAACCCTGAGTCATGTTAAGCTGGGTCAATGTTGCGATGATGGATCTTCCTGTCAGGTGTGTGTCAGGTGTGTGTGCTAGGGATACAGTTCCTTGTCTTTACGGACCAGGTCGCTGTACATCTGCTCATAAGTGGTTTTGAAGTCATAAATGTTGGGTTTGTCCGGAGCGGGTCCCGGGAGTTTCACGTGGGTTCCTGTGCCGAAGGAGCGCACATCGAACCCTCGCTTGCTGTAGGAATAACAGAGAGACAGTGAGAAACCACAGGAGAGCAGAACAGCACACACACACACACACACACACACACACGTGAGAACACCTGTTCAAACGGAGGAGACTTACCTCACCTGGATAAACCTAGCGTCAACTAGCCTAGATCGTGTCGCTAATTCGTCTTTGGTCTAATTTGAATAGGAAATCTACCCTTAAGTAACTGACTTAAAAAAAATTATGACCAGTCTTGAATAAATTTAGATGACTAGGTTTTGTTTTTTTAATTAGTCTTAAGCCGTTTACAACCAGCCCCTGAATATAGCACTACTCACCTGAGATTTATCTAATTTTATCTGGCTAACAAAAAGCTAGCATTGATTTAGGACATGTACTGTGTTATTATTATTTGAAATACCACAAATTACCATGGTATATAAATGTGGAAATGGATCAGTAGTACCATGGTATTACAATCTGATGTACCACCAGGGTACTGCGTTTTTGTGAGGGAACCATTATTACAAATATAAAAATTAAGTCTTATATAATTTAGTTGGTCTGACTACTTTATTATAGAACGTTATGTTTTAACGTTTTTTTTTAATTGTACTCTTTTAGACGATCTTCATCTGCTTCCGTGTTGCTCGACGCGTTTCTTTCTGTAAAAAAAAAAAAAAAAAAAAAAAAACTAGCGTAAATGTGAAATATGTTTATGTAATGATCCTCTCGAGCCCCCTCGGTTCGTTTCTCGCGATCTGACTGGCCCGGTTCGATTCCGATCCGCTTTTGGACCGTGTGAAAATACAAAATGACAAAATAATGAAGAAACCGGCTCAAGTTCGGCTGGGTTCGGCTGGTTTTTTCTCGTTGTTACCTCAGGATGTTGTGCGCTTCCATGCTGCGGTTCTGGTTGCTGGAGCACACGACCGCGACACGCAACGGGTGGGCCGGCATCGCGATCTAAAGCCCGGTGAGAGTATAACGGGTTTGAGGGGAACGCTTCGGAACGAGAGCTCGGTTCGACAGCTCTACTCGGGTCCACTGAGGGGAAGAAAATGGCGGAGGAGCTGCGCAGCTGTCAGGCATGCGTCACAATAGGGGGAGGGGAAGTGGGCGGAGCCTCACGAAAGCCAATAGAGACAGGGCGCATTTAGGCCACGCCCATTGGAGGGGGGGGGGGGGGGGGGGGGACCAATCCAAACGTCTCCATTGACTCTGTATTGTGTGAAGCTGCCTCCTATAACAATAAACAAAACAATGTCTAAAAGCTGCTTTGTGACAAGGTGTCCAGCAAACAAGTTAAACAACCCAGATATAAGTTTTTATAGCGTTTAAGGATACAAAGTGGAAAAAACTCCCACGTCACTTCATTAAAATGGGGTTAAATCTCTGGGGTCATGGATTTCTGAGGCTTGAAAGCATAGACTGTGAACGACATGAGGGCAAGTAATTAATGACAGAATTTACATTTTTGGATGAATTAACCCTTCAAGGGTCAAAACTGAATACAGCAGTGAGACAGAGCTCAACGTGTCATGTTACTGAGAACTAACTCGGCGACAGGATAGGCTAGTTTACAGAAATATAAAAAACTGACATTTGGATATTATTTGACTTACCAGTGACTATGTTTACTGCACACGTAGTGTATTTTTAGTGCATACTGAGTGTCAGGATCCCACAGTTTACCGTTCCAGCCGGTCTCCACTTTTGTGTCCTTAAACGCTCGTTTTTTGGGATCGACAGCTTATGAAAACTTATTTCTGTTTTTTTTTTAGCTTGTTTGCTGTACACCTAGTCATAGCAGCTTTTAGACATTGTTTTGTTTTTTTGTTATAAGTCAGAAATGACAAGGATGCAGTTTCGCAATGCAAAGTCAATGGAGACGGTTGGATTGTTTTCCCGGTGGGCGTGGCTTCAGATTATGACGCGTCGCTCTGTCTCTATCAAAATGAGATGACGAATATCTCGCGGACACGAAAACGCTCCTTTCAGGTCTTTTTTCCCCAAAAACAAAAATAGTATTTTATTTTTTATTTTTATTAAATACTTGAAGAAATGAAGAAAGAAAAAAAACATTAACAACAATTATCGTCATTGTCATAACATAACGCAATACTCCAGGCCAAGTCCTTAAACACAGCCAGCGTTTTTAGTTTTTAGAGAACTCAATAGAATCAAAATACATTTTCATTTCAAGTGTACATTTTTAAAAAGGAGGATTGCATTTAGAAAATTTACATTTGTGAATGTGACATTTAGCTAACAGAAAAATAAGGTTTATAAAATAAATATCACTTTTATTTTCACATTCATGAAAACCAAAATTTACATTTCTATATATAAATTTAAAGTTAGGATTCACACAACATTTGATAAATCATAGACGTCACACCAGAATCTCACTGTGAGAGAGCTGTTCCAAAACTAACATGGTTTAAGGTTTCTCTAAACAGAAATTTCTTCATTTTTCAAAACTTCCTTTTGCAAGTGGATAATGACAGTGTAATTTGTGTATATCAGTTTGTTTATTTTGGGAAATTAAAAAAAACAATAAAACTGTTTATTAAATTCACCCCTCATTTATTGACACAAAAGTTTTGTATTACAGAGAGAAAGCACAGTATTGAAACGGCTGTTCAGCCAGTCCTTGTTTCGTGAACATTACAAACTCACATCACTAACTCAGAATTAAAGAGTTGTGTAAAGTTAAGGCATACTGTAAATTATTATTGGGAACATTAGAGTACAAAACTACAGCTTTTCTTCCACTACAGTCAATCACTTAAACTTCATTATTACCGCACACAAAGCCATCATATGCAGTTACCCACTTATTGACTTGCATTTCTAAAACAAATATTGATAGCTATCCGTCTAAATATCAGTGAGTGCACAGTTTTTTGGTAAACGCGATTATTAAACGAGACTATAGATGAAAACACACATAAACACAGGAAAAAAGCTTGTCGTATAGTGTGGCTATGTTCGGAACAGCATTATTTCTAACCCAAAATGCACTGCGTTTGACTTCACCGCACAATTTGAGTTGTGAACTTTAACATTTCTTTCTCAACTCATTATTTGATTGAACTGGCAAATTTTTAAATTACACTAAAACATGCAAAATAACGTTTGGTGAAGGTTACGTACATGTTGAAGTACAACGTTCTTAGTTTTTTTTTTATGTTGATGTTGTTGTTTTTACTTGATGAACATTCTCATAGCGCTGAGAGAAAACGTTCCGATAATGATATTTTAGGAACATCGTTATGATATTTGTACTTGATGAACGTTCTCATAACGTTGAGAGAAAACATCCTTAGAATGACATTTTTGGAACATCGTTATGATATTTTTGATATTTGCTTAATGTTAACGAATTTTACAAGTAAACGTTATTATACTTACATTATCGTAACCTTTTAACACATTAGAAACGTTGCAGATCACTGTTCCCACAACCTTTTTTTGGACATAAATTTATTAGCTGGGTGGACGGTGTACTATTGCGTACTATTTAAGAATAAACGTACACAGTTAGCGGTGTATACCGCACATTACTCAGTCAATAGTAGGTAAGTCCTCCATTCCGAACACAGCCTGTGTGTAAGTAGAGCTCTGTGGAACTGCGTCTCTTTCTACATGAATTCTGCACTTCGTTTCCGATCCTGAGCTGTAAGGTGTGTGTTTGCGCGACGACGATAACGATGTTTCTCTTCACAGGTGTGTGTGCAGGTGCGATCTGTGCGAGTGCTGCGCCGTGAGCGTGTGCTGTGCCGTCGGGTTCATGATATTTTCGGTGATGTACGCCACCAGCAGGCAAATGATGACCAGCATCACACAGATGGCTCCGCCCACTGTTGTCATGGCGATAACGATGTCCTGCATCCCGCTGGGCTCGAGGCTGAACTCCACGCAGGCTTCGGCCCGGTCGAGGGCGTAGGGCCGCACGCAGAGGCGATACGGCACGTTAGCGTGCAGCTCGGTGAGTAAATAATCGCGGCAGCTGCTGCCTAAATGCACGCCGGCGCATTCGAACTGCGTGTAGCTGCCGTTCCACCAGCAACTGAGCCGGAAGCCGCCCGCAGGCCCGTGAGCGGGGCTAGCCTGAGCCGTCCACTGAACGAACACACTTCCGTTGGACAGGATATTCGCCGTTAGCTGCCGGTCAGGTGAGCTCACCTGTCGACAGGTAGCGCCGGTGCACCGGAAGTCCGGTCGCGTATACCGGAAACACAAACGCCCCGGGTCACCTTCCTCAAGAATGCGGTATGCACACAGCGGCCCCACTTCACCCAAAACACGCCACCATCTTACAGTAGTGCTGTTGTCCTGTAGCTTTGGTATCCGCTTGGAGTCTTTATTGGTGTCATTATTACTGTATTGGGCATCACGGATGCTGCTGGTCCGGTTCGGTAAAGCTCTGCTTAGAAGCAGCAGAACCGGGAAGGAGTAGCGGAGGAACACTGATCCCTGATGGCCTGCCATGTCTGATTTATATCGCTTATTTATTCACAATCGATGGACAGATGCGGAGAATACCGGAGACGTGCGGTCGCCATCACACCGGTGCGCGCGCCTGAAAAAAAAAAAACAACACAGAATTAACCGCCAAACACTGACTCGTGCGTCGCTAAAAAACAAACAAAACACTAACGGCTGAATCTCTGAATACAAGACAAACAAAACAACATCGACTAACATTATTATTAAGCAGACTGATAAGGATTTGTTGTAAATAAAGATGGAGATTTAAAGATTACCTCAGAGAAAACCTTCCGCTGCAGCCGCCGGACGAGAGCGCGCATGTGTCTGTGCTCGCGCGGTTAATCACTGTGGTAATTAGCATACTTCCTCTTTCGTTCATTCTCACTTTATCTGTCAGAAACCAGACGATTTCTTTGTCTCGATATCTATTAATCACTCAGTGAATTTATATCTTTTCTCCCCCACAACATCATCAGAAAAATATAATCAATATTATTACACTGGAATATCATATTCAGTATTATATACATCTATATGGTTTGCTGTTTTTTCCCTCTGTTTTTGTTGTTTTTTGTTTTCTCCCCTTTATGTGTAGGCTTCTTTTGTGTATGTCATTGGTCTATGCTTGTTAATAATAAAAAATCATCAACGATTCTAAAAAAATACGTATACTTTTAGAAATATGCTCTATATTAATCATTATAATAAATTAAATTAACCAACGCGTTAGGAAATATCTACTGATTTTTTTTTAAAGAATGTTTAATGAATCTGCAGTGCACTAATGTTGTTTTTATACATGAAGGGTTATTTCAGGTTTTTAAGCACAAAGATGTTGGAGTAGAAGAAGCAAATAAACAACTGATGGTTTGATTTGTTGTGTGTTCCATGAATTTTGCATTTCATTGTTCTACTGAAAATACGTGAAAATATGATAGCAGGTTTCAACAGGCGGGCCATCACGTGTTCATAAAAAATAAATAAACCCACCCTAACACGTGACTGGTTGTTGTGATTAATTATAAGAAAGATTCTGTACTTCTGTGTGAGAAAACCTCACGAGCACAGTTTGTGTATTTAATGATAGTTTATAGTTTTTCTCCTTATTCTCTGTATCTGACGCCATCTAGTGTTCATCAGCAGTAAAACTTGTCAAAATGTTGAATCATCACCATACATAAAGAGCATAATTAAGCATATGGAAGCTTGTTTTCGCCATGGAATGATTTAAAAGATAATTGCAACTTTTTATCTCACAACAACTCTGACTTTTTCCCCCTCACAATTGCGAGTTATTAAGTCAGAATTGCGTGATATAAATCGCATTTTAATAGAAAAACAGTAAGAATTGTGAGATAAAAAGTCGCAAATCTTTTAAACTGTTTTATTCCGTGGCGGAAACAAGCATTCGTGGTAAAATGAGAAGTTCTCGAGGTAAATAACAAAGCCTGCGTGAGAATGACGTGCGCGCGCCGTGAAATATTCACCGTCATCAGCATCATCATCATCATAAAGAGATGATTCGGTCCAAACACACACACACACACACACACACACGGGTTGACCGGGAGGATTGAGTCAGCGCTTCTTCTAATGATGGGAACATGCAGAATCAGACACACAGAGTTTAATAAAACCCCTGAGAATAAGTGCCCGATGATCTTCATCAGCAGAAATTAATAAGACTTTTACTCATTAGGGTTAGTTCTGTTAGACACACACATTGAGACATGAGCAGACACATGGGGGACATCATGTGAGACACAGTGGGGCATGTTGTCACACTGGAACTTAGTTCCCATTAAAACATTATTTCTGAAACGTCCATTTATTTAGTTTTAAAGGTTTTTATTGGTTATGTGAACGTTAAGGAAACATTCCATTTATAATTCCTCAAATATTATGGGAATTTTACTTTTGAACATTATAACAAATGTTAAACGAACGTTCAACTAAAACATTTCAGTGGAAAAACTCTCCATTAATAATGTTTTTGTACTAACAAACATTATTTTAAAAACCCGTAACACTTTACAATAATAAGGTTCATTAGTTAACATGAACTATGAATGAACAATACCTCCACAGCATTAATTAATCTTAGTTAATATTAAATTCAACATTTACTAATACATTATTAAAATGTAATGGTTGTGTAATGCACTGTGAACTAACATGAACAAAAATTAATAACTACAGTAACAAATGTATTGCTCATTGTGAGTTCATGTTAGTAACTAATGTTAAACCTTATTGTAAAGTGTTACCAAATAAATCGTTTGAGAACGATTGGTAACGTTGAGAGAACGATCCTAGAACTAACACCAAAGGCCAAAACAACTATAAAACAAATCAATTCATAAACCAACAAAAATGTAAACGACAAGAAATGAACATATGAAACCAGCTGAAGTCAATAAAAGTGAACGGCCCCTCCTCCAGTTCGCTGATCGTTGAACACTTACCATCATTTAAACTGAGTTTATCGTCACTCAGGCATTTCATAATTGATTAAAGATTAAAATCCCAGCGGCGTCAGTAGAGCGTGTGCGCGCGCGCTTATATACAGAGCTGGTGTGAGCGCGCGCGATGGACAGACCGCGCGCCGAGACACACAGACACACACACAGACAGAGAGACAGACTGAGGGGGAGACAGACTGAGAGTGAGACAGACTGAGAGTGAGACAGACAGACACACACACAGACAGAGAGACAGACTGAGGGGGAGACAGACTGAGAGTGAGACAGACAGACAGTGAGAGTGAGACAGACAGACACACAGACCGACAGTGAGAGTGAGACAGACAGACACACAGACAGACACACAAACAGACAGTGAGAGAGAGACAGACTGAGAGTGAGACAGACTGAGAGTGAGACAGACAGACAGTGAGAGAGAGACAGACAGACTGAGGGTGAGAGTGAGACAGACAGACAGTGAGAGAGAGACAGACAGACTGAGGGTGAGAGTGAGACAGACAGACACACAGACAGACAGTGAGAGTGAGACAGACAGACAGACACACAGACAGACAGTGAGAGAGAGACAGACTGAGAGAGAGACAGACAGTGAGAGAGAGACAGACTGAGAGAGAGACAGACAGACTGAGAGTGAGAGAGAGACAGACTGAGAGTGAGACAGACAGACAGTGAGAGTGAGACAGACAGACAGTGAGAGAGAGAGACAGACAGTGAGAGAGAGACAGACTAAGAGAGAGACAGACAGTGAGAGAGAGAGACAGACAGTGAGAGTGAGACAGACAGACAGTGAGAGAGAGAGACAGACAGTGAGAGAGAGACAGACTGAGAGAGAGACAGACAGTGAGAGAGAGAGACAGACAGTGAGAGAGAGACAGACTGAGAGAGAGACAGACAGACTGAGAGTGAGAGAGAGACAGACTGAGAGTGAGACAGACAGACAGTGAGAGTGAGACAGACAGACAGTGAGAGAGAGAGACAGACAGTGAGAGAGAGACAGACAGTGAGAGTGAGACAGACAGACTGAGAGAGAGACAGACTGAGAGAGAGACAGACAGTGAGAGAGAGACAGACAGTGAGAGTGAGACAGACAGACTGAGAGAGAGACAGACTGAGAGACAGACTGAGAGAGAGAGAGACAGACTGAGAGACAGACTGAGAGACAGACAGTGAGAGTGAGACAGACAGACTGAGAGTGAGACAGAGAGAGAGACAGAC